GCTAATCTAAAAGATAGCATTATACTCATTGGAATGTATGTAATTGCTTTTCCTCCAGTTCATGCTGAACTTTTAATCAAAAAGAAAATCTTGCTACCTGTTTGGGAGCAATTTACAAGGACTGAAGGCAGAAATAGGCTTTACACTAGCTTAGATATATAAATACACCTGTTAAAATAGAATTCCTCCAGTGTGGAAGCAGGCCATTCAGCCCACAGAGTCCACACCAACTCTCTGAAGAAGATCTCAACCAGACCTAGCTCCCTACCCTTTCTCTGTAACCCTGCATTAAACATGGCTAATCCAACTAGCCTGCACATTCCTCAACACTACGGACAATTTAGCATGGCCAATCCACCTAACCTGTACATCTTTGGACAGTGGGAGGAGAGTGGAGCACCTGGGGGAAACCTGCACAAACACGGGAGAACGTGAAAGCTCCACACAGACAAGGCTGGAATCAAACCCAGATCCCTGGTGCTGTGAGACAACAGTGCTAACCACTGTACCATTGTGCCACTGTTGCTTTATATGATTAATCTTTTCTTCACATCTTGCATAATTTATGGCAATAATCCATCTCAGTTTTATGTGCTACTTTAACATTGCAAAAGAAATACCACAGGTCTAACGTCTGCAGAGGGAGTTAACATTTTGAGTTTGATATTTTTATCAGAACGAAGGCTTAGTTTCTCTCTCCACAGATGCTGCCAGGCCTGCTGAGTTTCTCCAACATTTTGTGTTTGTTTCAGATTTCCAGAATTCGCAATATGTTGCTTTCAGTTAACAGAAGTAATACCCACTTTCAAAAGACCCCAGAGATGTAGGAATTTTAACCCATCCTATATTGTTGGGGACACGGTAGTCAAGTTTTAATTGAATTTTTTTCAAGTTTTATTTTTGCTCACTGTCTCATTTTCCACATCTACCCTTAATCCAATGTTTTTTCCTCTCTACATCCTCCAGTACCCAGTTTGGCATTGAATTCACCTACTTTGCTTGCACTTCTCAGTTCTAATGCTTTTAAGGTCATAATCTTTTAACCTGATTGTTTGGAAGATACAAAATTGTGTGGCCTTCCCACTCAGTTGGCAGACATCTGTTTTCACTTTTTAGATTTACATTTTCAGCTCTTCAACATGCTAAGAAATGTAAACCCTGAACATGCAAGGCCAAGCCAAACAGCAAAAAAAATGCTCGATTAATTGCTACAGCAAACTCTGGACCATCAAGATTAGTTAAAAACCATACAATAATACATACGCCTGCATACACCACATAGCTAAAAAGTATTACCAAATTTGCCAGAGTATGGAAAAAACAGTTCAGGATTTGGACTAATTGGGTAAGACTTAAAAGAGGTAAGATAGGTCAAATTAGTATTACTTTGGAGCCAACTACCAGCATTCTTAAGTTAATGTGACAGATTTAAACACTTTGCATTATGTAAATAGGTGCCAAGTTTATCAAATCCTAACTTTAATGTGTATTTGTGACCTTTTAAGTGTAAATTACGTCCACAAAAGTAATAAACAGGCATACAAAATCCACTGACACATGCCAAGCTATACAGCCCTGGAAAATGGAATTAAAACAGTCACTCTTTTTGTCTCAATAATCCAAAGGGCCTTTCTCGGTGCTGGACACTTCTATGACTAATTCGTTCATATCATCTTAGATATCATACAGCATTTAAATCAATGAGAAAGAGTTATATTTGAAAAAAAATTGCCAAACTATCAACTTCTTCAAACCTCTTTGCTTCCCATCAGCCTACAAAATCCTTTTAAAGCAAGGCTTGGAAAGTCCTAACTACAGATGCCTATACTGTGATATCTTGTCAGCTAAGTACAATTTTAATTTCCAAAAGTTTTGGAAGCATTTGTATCATTTTGTGCTTCTCCCAAAATCAACCATCTTACTTTACACAGCATCCGTTACAGTAGCCTCAAGTGCCAATGACATTCATCCAGCTGCAGGTTGGTTAGTTGGCAATACAGACACACTAATTATAGCACTCAACTGGCTAAGCTACCAGGTTGTTTGCAAGAATAGATTTCAGAGACAACCTGTACTAGAGAAAATAAAGACTCAAATGACAGCCTACATCATAACAGCAAATATCAAATTTTTAAACTGTATGCTGAATTGACAAACTACTTCTTCATGATGCCAAATATAGGCCAGGCATATATGTCCTATTAACGAGGAACCAGTTTAGTCTTACACTCCCTCGTGCAAAGTGCATAGGCGTGCTGGAATCACAAAATTATTAGAATGTAGATAATATTCCACATAAATAATTTAATGCAGCTATACTCAAATCATGCCTGGAGCCACAATAGTTAAAACCTGAATCAAATGTCACAACATACTTTCCAATATGAAGGAATGTGGACATTCATTCAAATTCCAGAATATTTTCTCAACTGTTGCTCCTTCATATTCTTCAAACAGGTGAATTATTTTGAGATAGAACATAAAACATTGAATAGTACAGCACAGAAACAGACTCTTTGGCCCACAATGCCGCGCCGAACTTGACACCAAATTAAACTAATCCTTTCTGCCTGCCCTTGGTCCATATCCCTCCATTCCTTAAATATTCATTTGCTTATCTAAAAGTCTCTTAAATGCCCCTATCATACCTGCATCCACCACCTCTCCTTGCACTGTGCTCCAGAATCCTAACACATGTAAAAAAACTTGCCCCTCTCACCTTAAATACATGCCTAGAGATGTTAAAATTTGGACTGATTGTTCTCCAGAAACTGAAAACTACTATTTAACCTTTCATTTGTATTCATTAACAACATTTACTACATTAGTTACATTACAAAATTACTTCATCAGCTTTCAAATGCTTTGGGACACCTTGATGTCATGAAAGGTGCCATATAAATGCCAGTACAAAATCATACTGCTTAGAAGCCCATCAGGTCATTGTATATTTTTGGCGATACAGATTCGATCACCGACACTTGTCCCACTTTTCCATACTAGTCCTTGAATGTTATGACATTTTAAATGCTCGAACAAGTACTTTAAAAAAAAAGGTCCCAGGGTTTTCCTGCTTCAATCACCCTCCCAGGCAGTGCATTCCACACCCCAACACACAGTAGCTTCAAGAGTTTTTCTTCAAATTATGCCTCCTGGTGATTGATCCTTCCACTCAGGGGAACAGCTAATCTCCATCCACCCTATTCAAGCCCCTTTTAATCTTATACAACTTTATCAGGTCCCCCACTCAAACTTCAAAGAAAATCCAAGCTTATCCAGCCTCTCTTCATAGGTGAAATGCTCCATCTCTGGCAACTTCCTGGTAAATCTCTTTTGCAGCCCTCCAGTGTAATCATATCCTTCTTATATTGTGGTTACCAAACTGCATTCAGTAGTCCAGCTGTGGCCTAACCAAAGTCCTATAAGGCTCCAACATGACATCCCTGATCTTATCTATGCCATGACTGATAAAGGCATGTATCCCCTGTGCCATCTTAACTACCCTGTCAACTTGTCATTCAACCTTCAAGAATCTGTAGACAAGCACAAGGTCCCTCTGTTCCTCTGAGCTACATAGTGTCCTGCGAATCATTATGTAATCCCTTGTCTTGTTCCTTCAAATGAGGGTTAAACTCCATCCGCTGATCTGCCCACTTGACTAATTTGTTTATATCCTCCTGTAACCTAGCACCTTCTCCTCAGTCAACTACCTGACAAATCTTTGTATCATCCACAAATTTACGCAAACAATATGGGATCCAGCACTGATCTCCACGGTATGTCACTGCAAGTACTTACTTTAGCTTTATTAAGAATTCCTTACTCAGACAAAAGATTTTCTTTCAGCCCTACATAGTATTAAATGCTCAAAGTAAATATTGAAAATACAGGAAATAAAGCAAAAACACTTTAAAAACCTGCTCATAAAACTTGACAATATGGATTATTCTACATTTTTTAAAGTGATCACAAATTGGACATCCAGGACTAAATAAACCATAACGGAGTTCTTTTCAGGAATAAAAGGATGAATGATTGACAACACCAATGCTGGATTCAGATTCAGTCACCAAACCAAAACAGAAACATTCAAGCAAGAGAAAACGGCACAGATTATCCAAAAGGCTGATATCCAGCAACAAAGGATTATAACAGGCAGCACTTGGCACCCTGTTCGATGATCTGTAGTGCTTTAAACCAAATACCCAAGAAACCTCACAGACAAGAAAACAGAATAATGCAACTCACTCTCTCTTACTACTATTTCCCTATTCCATTTGAGTATCTTCTAATGTTCCTTATGCGCTGGAATGCAACTATTGCGTTATAGCAGAACCCCCTATATTTTTAGTTTTCGGGGATAAAAACTAGAACTACAGAGCATGGCAGAATCAAGGAGAAATTTTACAAGCACCGTTTTCAATAATTTCCATGTGTGGTTGTGTCTCATTCACCCTGTGCAAGTATGTAGCCGAAACGTAAATTATATTTCTCTCTCCATAGATACTGCCAGAACTGCTGAACATTCCCACCTATTTTTACACAGTCCCACAGTACTTTGCTTTTACATTAAAGACTGTAGAACATAACCATCTCTTTGTTAGTGGCTAAACCTCTATAAATGATTGAACAAAGACAGATCAAGTGAACCTCGTATTTAGACTTCCACAATTTAAAAAAAAACACTGTATTCAGCACTACAAACTCAAGAAACAGATCACATCAAACAAATGTCATTTTACCTCGTACACCTGCCTCCCAATGTCACAACACTGCATTAATCCAATATTCACAACTGAGTATACCTAAACGCTAGTACATACTTAAATATTTTAACTGAACTAATAAACACTTAAGCTGTGTTTATCATTTGATATAATTTTAAAATGTTAAGGTCTACTTCTCACATTGAGTCCAAAAACCTATTTAATCTATTATTAACAGCTAACATACAAGTAAAACATAGAGTTTACCCAAATTACATAAATTCTTTCCATTACCTTCAAGAATACTGCTTTTAATTCACTGGGGTCTGCCCTTTTAGTAGCCTGCACCTGAAATAATAAAAACACTTGTTACGTCTGTTACCCAAATGAACTATCTTGAAAAAAGATACCTAAAAAGTACATTGAACAAGGTACGTCATTTCACTATTTTGAACAGTATTTAAATTGCAGTTAGCTCAATTGACGTATATGGGTGCATAATACTAGTTATCTCTTGTTCTTGGTTGTAACTTGTTATGCATCTGAAGAAGTTCCTCCTAAAAAAGAATCTCTGAATCTTTCCTTTTTAGAAGGAGCCCACAAACGTCCGAACTATCTAGACTTTAAATTTGGAAACGAAGTTTCGTTATTGCCATTACGTGAAACTACACATTTACACATCGATCGATCCGCAAAACATTATAAATCTTTACCGTGACAGTGAGCTGCCTGCAGTATACATATATTCAAAACACTCTTATTCGGATAATAATACGTAAAGTTGTTCAACATAAATACACACTTCGTTTTTTAAATTGTTTAAAGGTAGCTCAAGGCCAAGCGCTAGGCCTGCAAACATCAACAGACTGCAAAAAAAAAACAAACACAACTACGGTCGATTTGAAATATCTACCATACAAATATACTAGCCAAACCCTTCACCAATTAACAGAATCTACAGCACAACACTCAATGTGAATCTCTCTAAAAGCTACAATGAGACACGGATTCTCGCTTGTGTCACCTTGACCGCCATGCTGCAACTGTAATGTCACGAGACGCCGGAATGCAGGCGCGCGAACGTCAGGGGTCAGAGGTCAGAGAGTCACCCGGGCAACGGCGTTAGTGGGTCCTCCTGGGGGGAGGGGAGAGGGCCGGCAGGGAGATCGGAGGGAGGTAGGGAGAGAGTGTGTGGGGATCCGGGAGGGAGTGTGGGATCTGGGAGGGAGAGAGTGTGGGATCCGGGAAGGAAATGGGAGGGAGTGTGGGATCTGGTACGGAGTGTGGGATCAGGGAGGGAGGGAGTGTTGGCTCTGGGAGGGTGTGGGATCTGGGAGAGAGTGTGGGATGCGGGAGGTAAAGTGTGGGATTTGGGAGGGAGGGAGTGGGGTCGGGGACGGAGGGAGTGTGGGATCCGGGAGGGAGGGAGTGTGGGATCTGGGACGGAGGGAGTGTGGGATCCGGGAGGGAGAGAGAGTGGGATCCCGGAGGGAGGGAGTGGGATCTGGAAGGGAGTGTGGGATCCAGGAGGGAGAGTGGGATCTGGGACAGAATGTGGTATCTGGGAAGGAGGGAGTGTGGAGTCTGGGACGGAGGGAGTGTGGGATTCAGGAGGGAGAGCGAGTGGGATCTGGGGAGGAGGGAGTGGGATCTGGGAGGGAGGGAGTGTGGGATCTGGGACAGAATGTGGTATCTGGGAGGGAGGGAGTGTGGGATCTGGGAGGGAGAGGGTGTGGGATCCGGGAAGGAGATGGGAGGGAGTATGGGATCTGAGAGGAAGTGTGGGATCCGGGAAGGAGTGTGGGATCTGGATGGAGTGTGGTATCCGGGAGGGAGAGAGTGTAGGATCTGGGAGGGAGTGAGTGTGGAATCTGGGACACAGGGAGTGTGGGATCCGGGAGGCAACGAGTGTGGGATTCAGGAGGGAGGGAGAGTGGGATCTGGGAGGGAGGGAGTGGGATCTGGGAGGGAGTGTGGGATCTGGGACAGAATGTGGTATGTGGGAGGGAGGGAGTGTGGGATCTGGGAGGGAGAGAGTGTGGGATCTGGGAAGGAGATGGGAGGGAGTGTGGGATCTGAGAGGGAGTGTGGGATCCGGGGGGGAGTGTGGGATCTGGGAGTGGGTATGAGATCTGGGAGGGAGTGTGGAATCTGGGAGGGAGGGGGTGTGGGATCCAGGAGGGAGTGTGGGATCTGGAAGGGAGGGTGTGGGATCTGGGAGGGTGTGTTTGAGATCTAGGAGGGAAAGTGTGGGATCTGGGACGGACTGTGGGATCTGGGAGGGAGGAGGTGGGGTCTGGGACAGAGGGTGTGTGGGATCCGGGAGGGAGATGGGAGGGAGGGAGTGTGGGATCTGAGAGGGAGAGAGTGTGTGATTCGGGAGGGAGGGAGAGTGGGATCTGGGAGGGAGGGAGAGTGGGACATGGGAGGGGAGGAGGGGGATCGGGGAGGGAGGGAGGGAGTGTGTGGGATCTGGGAGGGAGTGTGGGATCCGGGAGGGAGGGAGAGTGGGATCCAGAAGGGAGATAGGAGGTAGGGAGTGTGGGATCCGGGAAGGTGATGGTTGGGATGAAATGTGGGATGCAGGAGGGAGGGACAACAAGGTGCAGGGCTGGATGAACACAGCAGGCCAAGCAGCATCATCGGAGCAGAGAGGCTGACATTTCGGGCCTAGACCCTTCATCAGAAAAGGGGGAGGGGAAGGGGGTTTTGAAATAAATAGGGAGAGAGTGGGAGGCGGATAGAAGAGGGATAGAGGAGAGGATAGGTGGAGAGGAAACAAACAGGTCGAAGAGGCGGGGATGGAGCCAGTAAAGGTGAGTGTAGGTAGGGAGTTAGGAAGGGGATAGGTCAGTCCAGGGAGGACGGACAGGTCAAGGGGGCGGGATGAGGTTGGTCGGTAGGAGATGGAGGTGCGGCTTGAGGTGGGAGGAGGGGATAGGTGGGAGGAAGAACAGGTTAGGGAGGCAGGGACGAG